TTTATGGGCAGTATCGATATCCACTTACCACCTACACTGTTTTTCGCTGTAACCAACTGTCCTTTATGTGAGCCTCACTTGCCCTCACGCGGTACCCACTTTCCTGCACTCCAGTGCACCCACCACCACCTCTGCCACCTACGCCTCCACATCTACCACCGCACCCCTCTTTAAGTCTTCGTTCTCCACCTCCGCTATCTCCGCCTCCACCATAAACTCTGCTCCCTCTGCCTCAACAATAAGCTCCTCTCCCTCCGCCGCCACCACCACGCGCCGTCACTATTCTTTCCGACTCCAACACAATCTAAGGTCGACCCATTTCTGACCCCGCTCTCCCCGTTTCCACTATCTCCGACCTCACCACAAATTCCCGTCCTCCGCCTTCACCACAAACTACGCTGCATTCACCTCCGCCTCCACCACGTCTCCATTCACCGCCTCCGTTTTCTGCGAACACACACACACACACACACACACACACACACACACACACATAAACACGCACTTAGACGAACACACACGCACGCGCACACACCCGCACGCACGCACACGCACGTGCATATAAACGCGCGCTCTCGCACACTCACACATACGCACACCTACACACACACACACACACAAACACGCGCGCGCACACACACACACACACACACACACACACACACACACACACACACACACAAACATAAACACAACAGTGGACACCAACACGCACACACAAAAGCAAACACACGCACAACCGCACATACACACGAATAACAGGTAACACACGCGCGCACTCACTCACACACACACACACACACATACACACGCGCGCGCGTGCACATACTAACACCGACATACACCCACACACATGCACACGCAAACACACACACACACACACACACACACACACACACACACACACACACACACACGCAAACACACACACACACACACACACACGCAAACACAAGCACACTGCTGCACACACACGTACTCATAACACACACGCGCACGCACATGCGTTCACACGAACACACATGAACGCACATACACCCACACGCATGCGCCCACGCAAACTCGCATAAAAAAAGCACACCCACACACACGCGCGCGAGCGCGCTCGCACTAAATGCCACCCCCCACACACACATACTCGAGTGATAAATTAATTTGTAATAAAGTACGGATAGTACTTTATTTCATCTTCTAATTGATCTATGACAAATGAACAAAATAACACAAATTCACTCACACGATAACAAAAACTCGAACAAACGTCTTTCCACAATAAAACCTGCCAAAGTTTGATCCACAAAATCAGTAGATAACGCATTTTCTTACCTTATTACTATAACGAAGTAGCCTACTGGGTTCTCTGTCACACACAGAACGCGACGTTGCCGCTTCGTGTTCGAGTACCTATTCGTCAATTATGGCTCCGGATCCACTTAGTCTAAGTAAATGTCGCATATAAATTAAATACACTCTGGATGTAAAAAATCATATTCAGTATGATTTTTTCGACCGTTGATAGATCAACAAATGTTGGTCAAATCGCTGACGAGTATATTGAAAATCTGTTAGTGCAGATCCACTGACGTCACACGCGCATCAAGGATGGATCAAAGTATATCAGTTTGTGCGACGAGGAGCTGAGCAAACACGTCAAATAGGTGGATCAACATTTACCGTGAAAGGATGATTATATATATATATATAAAATATATAGATAAAGTTTCAACAAAAAACCTAGGGCTTACCATGGATCTGATAATTGTCGTTTATTTAGTATCAGAAATATGATGAAAATAACCAGTCAGACCAGGATTATCCAACTAATTGTTTTTGGACAAAATATTTTGCTCTTGTTAGGATATAACGCCCAGTCATACTTATCAAAAGTCTGGTTGTCTATCACCTAACCTACGAATTTTGGTAGAAATAAATAGGCATAATATTTCTCTTTTAGATGTCGTGAATTGAACCTCATAGAACAATGTAAACAATTCCAACCAAGAGCAGCAAGTAAAGAAGAGCTGGTTAATCTACATTCACCTGAAGTATATGAAATGTTGGAGAGCACGCACCAGAACAACAACATAGAGTTTTTAGAAGAACTTTCCTCAAAATATGATGCTATTTACATTCATCCTGTAAGTAAGACATTGACATCTTTTTTATCAGTCTGTAAATATTATTACGTATAGGATTTACTGTTAATTGACGCACATATGAAATAACTAAAAAACATCCGATTGCCGGTATGAGTATTTAAGACGGTTAATTATAGCCTCAAAACTTCTAGACATTGCCCTTGACATGAAATATACAGATTTTTTACACTTCTAAACACACAGCTGTTCTTTACCTGTAAGTCACCAAATATGTCATTTAACAAACATGTTTGTAAGTTAGATTCCTTGAGATTGTGTTGTAAACTGGTATGATATTTTAGCTGTAATCAGAGAAATATTTGTCATAGATTTTTTTCTAGATATCAATATATTAGAAGGAACACTACAACATTTTAACGGGCTAGCTTATATTCAAACTAATATATATAAATTTTTTGTGTTAATTTCTTTGCAGAGAAAGATATGTAGGAAACTCAGTTTAATAAGGTATAGGCGAACATGGCTTAGTCAAGTATGTCAAGCAAACATAGTTTTGCATCTCATCATCCTTCCGATCTCATCACACAAGCGGTGTTACATTAGGTGGTTAAGGAAAAGATATAGGGTAGGTGTTTGTGCGTATACTTGCGCCACTACAATATTGTCTAGCTAAAATTAAAAAATATAAAAGTTATAATTATATAGTCTGTATTTCTACTATGATAGAAGACTAAAAGAAAAGCAGCATCCAAGGTGTGAGGCGTTGTCTAGCATGACAATTATATCTATGGTATTATTGGCCCATGGTTTTAGTGTACAAGGGTAATTATGTATTTATGTATGCTTTTATAACTCATAATGCTGTAGGTTTTAATTAATTGTTTGTAAGTTCCAAATCTACTTCTCTTCCCGACGAAACACACACTACAACACATGAGACTAAATTCGTTTTTTCGTCAATTAATGGAGCCATGTTTTTCTTAAAACAAAAAGAAGAATTAATTACTGCATTCCATGTTGTGATTTATGTCATCCATAAAAAGAATCATATTATATTGCAAATTATTCCTTAGTGAGTTGATAGATTAATTGTCAACTCTCCAGAGCACCCATGAGTTGGCTCTGATCGCGGCCGGGTCCACCATCGACATGGTGGATCGCATCGTGTCCGGCGAGGTGCAGAACGGTGCTGTTTTCGTGCGGCCGCCGGGACACCACGCGATGCGCGCGGAGCCCTGCGGCTACTGTTATTACAATAATGTGGCACTCGCTGCTAAACACGCCATAGAGCATCGAGGCTTGACCCGGTTAGTATTGCCTCGATTTTGCTACTACACCGAGCATGCACAGAAATGACGAACGCTGACTATCTAGCCCAACCACAAATCCACTTGGCACCAACTTTTCCTGTCCATGGCTTTGGAGGTTAGAGAAGAGATGAGATAAGATAACGACGGGCTGTTTTCTGCAACTCCACGTCTAAACGCGTATTTAGCGTATGGGCTTTGGAAGTAAGTTCTCATGCTGGCCAGCATCATTCCATAAAGAGTCTCATCGAGTCCCGAGTATCTGCTAAACACGCCATTGAGCAACGAGGCTTGGCCCGGTTAGTAAACTGGTGTAATTATATATGAAAAATCCAATGCTGCAACGAGTGGGCAAGTTCGACGAATAATGGCGATTGTGCGGATTCGTCGAGAGCGAGAGGGGACGGCGGGAGATGCTCGCACGTCGTACAAAGACCTATCAAATCCGTTTGTTTACCGACTAATTAATTTGAAATCAAAAATACATATAATTTTTTCATTAATGTAGTCATACTCGTAATATTTAGGCAATGTAGTATCCAAATATGGTAAAAAGTGAAATTCGTTATTTTTTTAGAACTGACATTAATTCTACGATCATGACTATTTGTATTTTAATAACATGTTCTTCATCAGCCTAGACTGGGTATCTCCAGCAGTAGGCAATTCTACCGCCGGAGGTGGGCCTCTCAAACAGATTGACAAACACAGTACCAGACGTTTCGCACATCTGACAATGCTTCCCTTTCCTTTGCTTACTCGGATCATCTATTGAAAGTGATAAGATTTTTAGGTATATCCCATAGTCGCCTCTTACGAAGGTCACAGGACGAAATGGGGTGATGGAATCTCTTAAGGTGCAACCAGACGACACATATAAACAATAACGTGTTTTATATTGTTATTTATTTTAAAGAATTATTTATAAAGAGTATAACATCGCATTAATTAATAGAACTGTAATCATGTTATAATTATGTAATAAGTAAATAAAACAAATTGTTTAAAAATACTCTATATTTTTCTATCAAGAGGTAGAGAATTATAAGTGGGTTGATACCTTAATAAATAAACTTTTATATTATATATAGTATAGTGAAATATAGAGATAGTTCGGTAGCGCTGTGGCTATACATTTGGCTGCGGCATCACGGGCCGCTGATTCAATTCCTGCAAGGAATAAATAATATAGTCTACAAATACTTAGTCAGTGTTTGGTGACTTATCCTTGATTTTTGTACAATTTAAGTATGTAAACGTAAATAAAGATGTTCGTGAAACATCAATTTATTTCTTTAAAGAGATAGTATTATAACTTATAGTTATATTTAAATTATAGTTATATTTAAATTATAGTTATATTTAAAATAATTAGCAATAAAACATCTTTTTTTTTTCAGGATACTGATTGTAGACTGGGATGTACATCATGGGCAAGCAACACAGCAGATGTTTTATGATGATAACAGGTGAGTAAAATTTCATTTATTTAAATAGAAAACAATTGTTTCACATCTGTAATATTATACTAGCGACCCGCCCCAATTCCGCTTGACTTGGATCTGTTAATACGGCGTCATTTAAGTTTAGGATATCCAAGTTTTTAGATAAAATATTCTATATTAGAGATCGCTCTTGGCATTGTTCTTTATCTGTTTGTGAAGTTTTATCACAGTCGGTTCAACCTTTCCGAAGGTTAGCCTGGTTAGATAGACAGATTAAAAAACTGTTTTTTATGTATTAGTGGCATGCAAACAACCTGAGCTCAATAAAAGGCAGTTATTTTGATATCACAGACTGACATTTTAATTTTATTCATACATATCCATCCATTCATCATAGCCTATAAATTCCACTGCTGAACATAGACCTCCCCCATAGATTGCCTATAGAAGGGATTTTGCCGTAGTTGACAGGCTTGGCGAGCGGGTTGTCAACCGCAGTTTTTTATTATTTTGGGTTGTTATCAGGAAGTTGCTGCTGCTCATCATCTGTTACCCTCTGTCGCCTCTTACACCCACGGGACTATATAGGGTAATCAATATACTTACACCGCCACTACACGGTTTTATATGTATATGTATGTAAAAGTAAAGTAAAGTTACAGCATATATACGTCCTACTGCTGGGCACAGGCCTCCCCTTATTTCTGAGAGTTTTAGGGCAAGGAAGTGTCCGCCGCGCAGCCTCAATGCGTGTTGGCGAACTTCACATGTCTTTAAAATATAATTTTCTCTTATTCCTCAGACATGCTGGTTTCCTCACGATGTTTTCCTTCACCGCCGAGCACGTGGTAAATCAGCACTTAAAATTGCAATTAACAATTTCATTGGTGCCGGCGGGGATTGAACCCGGGTTACTCGCGCTCTGTTATATTTACAGCGACCGTTAACCATCTGAGCTACCACGGCTCTATGTGGCTCTATATGTATGTATTAATAAAAATTACTCAACATACCAATTTAAATTTTTAACAGGGTGGTATACTTCTCGATCCATCGCTACGAGCATGGTGCTTTCTGGCCCAACTTGAGACAGTCCGACTTCCACTACACCGGACGCGGCTTGGGCGCCGGATACAACTTCAACGTGCCTCTCAACCGCACGGGAATGACGGACGCGGACTACCTGGCGATATGGCACCAACTTCTGCTGCCCATGGCTTTGGAGGTAAGTCCTCATAATGTATAGCACATTTCATAAAAAGTATCTCTCAAGCTGGGGATTAGATATAATCGCTTGACAGGGGAATTGGTATTACATAGCTGATCTGGATGTTTTTTTCGTTATCTGTATAAGGATATTCAATTTTATTAGCATTTTATCAGCTGCAGGACATAAGAGACAGCTGTCTTTTATTTCGTAGGTAGATAGTACATATTAAAATACTGAAGTTTCAACGAGACCAGCAAATATTAATGTTTGACAAGACTTTGTACTTCTGTTGTGCAAAAATCGTTTAGAAAAGTTTCTTCGTATTTTGTTTGGAAGTATAAAATTGAAAAAAAAAATCTCTTTGGTTGTACTGTTTGTATCTGGCTGGTTATAATATCAATGCATACATTAAGAAAAATAAAAAAATAAAAGTAAAAAAAAAACACAGTTATTAAGTAATTTTGAAGTTTTATTAAAAAAAAACGTATGTGATGAATTTTTATTATATTTTATATAATAGGAAGTTAAGATGATATTGTACGTAATTTTTGCGAAAAATAATTGATTAATCTAATGTTTAATTCATATAATACTTAAAGGCTAATTTTGTACGTAAATATCTAAGTTATTCTTAATGAAAATTTCTTTTTCCGGCAACTTCAGTACCAACCGGAGCTGATCATAATATCGGCGGGCTACGACGCTGCCATCGGCTGCCCAGAGGTACCATCTCCCTTTTTCATTTACTATCTGTCTCTTTCAGTATGCGCCAGAGCTCCTTATCGTGTCTGCCGGCTTTGACGCTGCTATAGGGGATGAAAAGGTTTGTGATCATTATAGAACATATTGCCTAGTTAATATGTGCTTGTGTGTGCCTGCGTCAATACGTGCGTAAACTTTTAAGATCTCAACTGTTTGACCCTTCAAACAAGATTTGCGTCTTAGTAAATTCGACTGGCCGTCGTATAACATTAGTCATTGATGTGCAAAGTTTTGTAGTAACCCTTTCAGCAGGTTTTTAAATTCTATAATACACAGACCAACAAAGAAATATAGACAAAGCGCTGCGTTTCTTTGCATTTCTAGTAACGCTGAAACCATGCTCATCTTACACGCACTCACGCACTTATCTTTCTTTTTATTAGCTCATAAAATTTAATTGCTGGACGCGCACATATATACAAAAACAAGTTGCTGAATACAAATAATTTTATATACATGTCGCAGCCAGCTAGCTTAATTAGCCGTTCAATCAACAGCCTAGCCTCTTTACTAAACAGCGTCATTCAACTAGCAGCCTGAATGATATTCAGCCATTTGATCAAACAGCTAGGCAAATAACTTGGATCGATGATTTTTCATTACTTACCTAGCCTTGCATTTCAATTCAGTTCCACTTTCTGCCACTTAGCGCTGAAACTATCTAAACTGTCAATATGGCGTCGGCAAACAACAAATTTGATGGTGTTTTTCAAAACTCTTTCCGATCGGCTTGACTCACTTGCCACTGCGAAGAGATGTTGCATCTCTTTGCGTATTTTATCGCATCTACCACGGGGAGTGCTATGAGTTCGGACTAATTCCAGCCGCACAGTTTCACCATCGCACATTGCGACAAAACTCGCGATACCATCCATACCATCTGGATGACTGGCGATCCACCACTAAAGGCCGATTTACACTTCGACAAGTACAGTAGCGAGTTTAGTTACAGGGCAGTTGACAGTAAACGCTTAAGTGGGCAGTAGCGTTCAAACAATGTCTTCGTGGCGAGTTTAGTTAAGTACATTAGTTCATAGAGTTTGTTGGATTATGACGTTTCAAGACTACAGAATTTTTCTGGTTTTCGTTTAAGATGGTTCTAGGATTACGTCAAGAATTAAATGATCCAGTCATGGAAGTATTAATGGTTGTTGTTAAAGAAGTTTTTAAGTATTTTCATGAGTGCAGCATCTCGAGCAGGTTTAATTTTACAATTTGAACTTCTACTATTATATAAACATTCGTGTTGTAAATACTCCTGTACAAATTTATACGTGATATCCTTCGTCCATTTTATTATTAAAACCCAATATTAAACGTATAAATATTCAATAAATAGTATCGTACAAATTTTGTGGCGAGTTTAATTATAAAAGTACAATTGTACGTTTTGGCGCGCAAACGTTGCGTCCTATCAACTTATGCACTGAACTAAACTCGCTCGTTTACACGAACGGCGAGTTTAGTTGCGGGAGGGCAGTACTTCGCACTTAACTCGCCGAAAAATAGCTGGGCCGGTTATCCCGTTCAACTTAATTGTTAACTTGCTACTTAACTCGCTTATTGGCGTTCAAACCAGTTTCAAACTTAACTCGCCAGGTTCGCAAGTTAACTCGCTACTGTACTTGTCGAAATGTAAATCGGCCTTAAGCGATTTAAAAGAAGTTTCTTCCTCGCACAACTTCCTTGTGGAATCAACTACCACCAAAAAAATTTCCGGACCGATATGACTTCGGGGCCTTCAAGAAAATAGCCTGTTCCTTTTTATAAGGCCGGCAACGCATCTGCAATTCCCTTGGTGTTGCAGCTGTTCATTGGCGGCGGTAATTACTTACCTTCAGGTGAGCCGTATGCTCGTTTGCCCCTCTTATATAAAAAAAAGTTTAATGAAAAATAGTACAAGCTGTCGCAGCCAACTGGCTTAATGAGCCATTCAATTAATAGCTTAGCCTTTCTATGTTTAACTTGGGTCCTGAATGATATTCAGCGTCTAATACAACATTGCAACCATCTTGTAATAACAGCGACAGTAGGTTAGGGTGTGGCTGTGGCCCAAAGGCCACCCCAAAGCCGCGTATATTTATATAATATAGCGCATAGTTCATACTTGGCATGAAATATTGTATTAAACGCATCAGTTGAAAAGCATAGGCTAAATATCATTAAGGCCGCTAGTTGAACAGCGCTGTTTTACCCTATCGTACGAATGGCCTAAACTATTAGCCAGCTAGTTTGTTAAATGGTGTAACAAACGCTACGGCTGAATATCATTTAGGCATCTAGTTGAACGGCGCAGTTAGTTAAAAGGCTGGGATGTTAACTGAAAGGTTGATTAAGCTAGATGGCTGAGACATACACATGTGTACGTGAGTGCGTGTTCTTATGTTTGTGTGTGTAGTTGAGCATAGTTTTGGCTTGGTTTTTCGTCACTTGCAATGTTCCTAGCGCTCCGTCTTACTTTTATTGTTAGTCTAAGATAATATGTATTGATAAAAAAATTGCCGACCATGTTTCAAAATACCTTTTATTCAAAAAACACAAAATTAAATAAGATGCACTGTCAAGTAATAAGTACACCTTTTCTATTCAATATCATTTAGGGTTGCGTTTGATATGTGTATAAAATTTATTGGAACACTATTGAAAGAATAGCGAGATAGAGTATTACTAAAAGGAGCAAATATACAGTGCACTGTCAAGAGAACATTTTCTTCACCAGCCCGTCTTAGACGTCTACTTCTGGACATTAGCATCGTCCTTTGTAAGAAGCATTTGCGTCAACCGTTAGTCTTAGCAGGCAGATTGGCGTTCGCTATACCAGACGTGAGCATCTGTTGCGCTGCTCCTCATAAACTATCCCGAAACTACCTTTATACCGCAATCTATTACAGGTTATGATATCTTACTGGCATTTTCCATAGTCGCCTCTTACGACAGATACTTTTGTAAAAGAAATGAGTATATCATTAAGTAATAACTACTACTTGTTCATTCCAAGAATGCCGTTACCTCCCGCCCCGCTCCCTCACTCCGCGCCTCAGGCATAGCCCTATTAGTACCGATAGCAGCGCCTTCGTAATGTTTTACGTATTTGAAATGTTTTAAATGTAAAATTAATATATGAAAAATTTAATAATAATATTTTATAATTGTATCCGACACGTTCCTATTCATAGTTACTATTTCACTTTACTAAATAAATTATTTTATAATATGCATTTTATCTACTTGTTGTAAAAAATAGTTTAGTACTGTGTAAAAAATAGTCATCATGTTTATGTGATATAATAGATAAACATGACTTTTTTGTCTACGGTACCATGAGCTGTGATATCATAACGGTCGACCACGGCAAACTTGAAATGAACGCGTAGTAACTTTAAAATGCTTGCGCTTAAGCGATACACGTTTAGTAATCGAACTCACGCAATGGCGTGCACAATCAGGGTACAAGTGCGGGGTCTTGACGACTCCGTGGCGCAGTGGCTTAGCAATGAGTGGCTGCGCTGAGGGTCGCGGGTTCGAATCCCGCACGGATCAAGTATTTGTATGGCCTACAAGTAGTTGTTCCGGGTCTGGATGTTCGTCCTTGTGCAATTTATGTTTGTAAACTTCCCCCACAATACAAGAGAAAATCTTAGTGTAGGGGTAACCTTTTTTATAAAAAATAAAAAAAATATAAAAAAAATTGGCAAGCACAACTATTTATATTTTCCCATGATGCCTTGGTTTTTTATTTTATTATTATCATCATCATCATCATCATCATCATTATCATAATCGGAATTATACCGAAAGCCATAAGAACGTTTTAGAATTTCCTATTGTCGCTTTCACAATTACATTATAATGAGGGTCAATAATGTTACGCTCACCAGGTGGCGCTAGTTGCAACTAAAATGAACTTATTTATTCTGCAGCACACAGAGTTATGATCATTAAAAGGTTGCGATTTAATAGTAAGTTTTTCGGTTTTTAGTGTATACACAAAATAATGCCTTATTTGTGTATTTCTTAATATTTTTACATATTTTTAATCTCTTTAATTCTTCTAATTTTATGAATAACCGTAATGTGGTTTGTTTCTCATTTAATTCATATATAATGTAACTAATATTGCAGAAGGAAACATTATGCTCTATATTTTTCTAAAAAAATAACTTCCTCCGCCATAAAATCTATTAAATATTTCACCGTCCAAGTGGTGCCGCCCTGGTGGCAGAAAAGTCGTGGATTATGATTGCATTTTCATTGAAAACTATTAAGGATTATGATTTAAAAGTCCTCTTGTGCTTGTTGCTCGTTCTTTTCAGATTTAAGGTTTTTGATTTATTTCTAACCAGTGGTAAAATCATAAATTCATTTCAATAAGTATCACTTCTTTAAATATCATTTGAATAACAGTATTGTGTTGTATTGTACTGAGGTTTAGTAGGATTGGTAATTTGCAATGGCATGGTATCAGGGTGAAATGGAGGTGACGCCGGCGTGCTACGGGTCGTTGGTGCACATGCTGGCGAGCGTAACTGCGAATGTGTGCGTGGTGCTGGAGGGCGGCTACTGCCTGCCGTCGCTGGCTGAGGCCGCGGCGCTCACGCTGCGTACGTTGTTGGGACACCCGCCGCCCATGCTACCTACTACCGGAGAACCCAGTGACTCGTGAGTACAATCTTGCTTCCATCTTATATTTAACTTCTTAACTTTCTTTACTGAAACTCTTAACTTTAGAATAAGGAAAAAATTTAAAGAAAATGGAAATTCAATTTTGTAAAGTCAGCCGAGCACTAATTTTATGTTATTTTTCTTGATCTGTGCTTAAGTCTCTCACGATACATGTCTGTGCACTTAGTGTGAGAACCACTTTTAAAGATTTTGTTAAGGTACAAAATCTCAAATAAATTAGTTAGCCAACTTCAAAAACAAGAGGAAGTTTACAATTCGACTGTATACTTTTTGTATGTGTATTATATTACCCGATAGTTTCGTCAATCGTATAATGATATTCTATATAGAGTATAGAGATATCTTTTTCTAAATAGGTTCTATGTCCCATGTATTTACATCAAACACGTGTATGTACATGCATTTATATTGTAAAACAAACTCCACCCCTAAAATTGGCAAAATAGAGAATGAAACTTTTAATGTAATTCTTTAGACGACATTGAGTATGTGATATTCCTTATACTCCACTTCACTTAAAAGAGCTAAAAAAGGAAACTTTATATTTTATTATTATTAAGAAGAATATAATAGTTTCAAATTATGACCTTTTTAATTCTTTGAAGTCAACTTCTGCTTTTTATATAAGTTATATTTTATAAAAGCAAATGGAACTTATGTTTTATAAAACTGAAGAAATTAGATGACCCTATCAAACATTAAGATCGATATGATATGATGAACGTATAATAAACTAATTTATTATTACGATTATCTGTTTAAGTCATCTATTATCAGACACAAAGCAATGTTCTATTTGCGTAGTAACTCAGTATCAGACGTTGTTCAACACGGAAAGCTAGATACTTGATTAAAAAAATATATGGTGTGGTAAGTGAATAAATGGCTTACATACTTCCTACAAAATTACATAATGTTGCCAGTAATAACAATAGATTTTAACATAACAATAATATTGCCTTTAAAAGTACGGTTTCACCACAAAGGACAGTGACGAAAAAATTGTTGTTGGTATTATTAAGCGTCTTCTTATGTTACCGTTACAGATATCAATAAAATAACTTACTATAAATTATCTAACCAAGCTCATGGCTTATTCTCGTATCATATATATAGTTGTTGTAGTTGTTACGATTCGCCAATTAAGGCAGGCAAAGGTCTTATAGGCTGATGTGTATTTTAGTAGCGAAACTGTTCGTTAATATACTACTGCGTTATTTAAGATTCCCCCTATGCTAGTAATTACTCTATATAAGCATAATTGAAAATTATATTGACTTGTTGTTGTTGCTATAACGATTTGCCAATTAAGTCAGGCAAAATTCTTATACCATATGGCCCTAGTCTGATGTGAAGTTTGTTTAAAGTGGTATATCTTTAATTCCTGACTTCATGTAGGTATGACAAAGAAAAAAAATTCGGAGTTTCAAAACTCTATATTATCATCATACGTATTTCATTTGTAGACGTAAGAAAAAAATGTCAACAAAAATTTGTTTCGGAGTTCGCCATTGTCCTTTACATTTACATTTCATGTTCATTTTTTATGATATACATATACATAAGTATGACAAATGAGTGTAATATATATACATAAAGTATGCATAAGTGTGGGTTCCATAGACAGCTACATCTATTCTCGATTAAGAATCGAAAACGTGTGTGTGTCACCCATGAGAACTAAGATGGAAATCGTTACCGTTATAAAAGGTATTCGGTTCTTATGACTCACCATACGAGACTGCTGTGTTTTATTGCTGACATTTCACGCTGGTATTTTGCGTCAGCGGGTGTGTTTGCTTGTTAAAACAACCCATTTGTGCTACTATCATAGCTTAGGGTTCGTGACAATGAAAACTGCCGATTGAATTACCAAAATTGACACTTTAATTGATGCTGAACAGCCTTTTCGCCTGCCCCAATTAAAACTTAAAACACACTAATAATTAATCGCACTGATCACTTTAGTTCACTTTATTTCGCTTGTATCGCCAATTCAATACTGCCCCGGTCACGGGAATATTCTAGCAAATACCGGTCCCGACCGACTAGATGTAGAAAATTCGAGTGTGGACTTTTCTAGAAAGCTTAGTTCCTCTGTTCGATAATAGATGGCACTAGTGCCATCAACTGTGGCGCGCAACTATATTATTACACTGCAGTATGAATTTACCACGTAAAAAGTATATTTCATGTTACTCTACATTTTTACGTTAGCTAAATATATATTAGAGCTAAATTAATTTTTCAGAATACGTGATTCAATATTAAATTGCATCTACGCACACAAACCGTACTGGCGATGCTATAACTTCCAACCCACGTATAGCATTGGTTCTATTCCTAATGTGTGTGACGGAGAGAAACAGAAACATACGGTCACATTAAAGTGGGAGGGAGATGAAACGAGGCCTGAAAAATTCGCTACCAGAAATTGCTATCCTGTACAAGACGATGATACTAAAAGAAAGATTATGAATAGATTAAACCATTTAAGACTGGGTAAGTTATTTTTTGTAACATAAGTTCAAAGACTTCTATGTATACTAACTACTAGAGCGAGCGAGAGGACCAGTTCTTCGTTTTGTAAACTGCGAACTGTTGTTTTCGACAATCTAACACAGATTTTGTTTAATATTTTATCAACGTGATTTGAAGTTTAATGCAGATAAGTATATAACTTTTCTTCGTGTTTGTCTAAAAACAGCTGTCATAAATGATAATACTACTGCATGGCGTATTTAGCGTGCCAGCTACCCGGTCAACCCCACGCGATCGACATCTGTGACACAGTTTATGTTCTGAAATGCCGGTATAGTAGTAGACGTAGAAGTCTTTGCATTTAGAGCAACAAACTTACTGTCCACTTGAGGACACATGATTCGTCTCTGTCTTTCTTACACCATATGATATATAAAATAATCATATATCGTCTTTTACCCAAATACCTACAAATTTAATGAAAATTTGCCCTGTGTCGTTAATTAACTTAATTATTTTAAAATCAGTTACATATTCATAGATAAACATTTCAATTAAAACCTGTGTTAAAAATATCACTTAAAACCCCCATTATTTTTGCAATAAAAATAATATCATACGTTCATGTAATAATTCTATTTTTATCTACGGTAATTCGTACTGTTGTAAGTAATGCATCATATGTGAATACGTATATCATAAATAATGTGAATTATGTGATTATGTGAATTTCTTATATTACTTCCGACTGTATTTTTATTTTTTGAGATTTTTTCGAGTGTGTGCTTAAATCTCCCCTAAGTTTAATCTTGGAGCCTGTTGTATCAAACTTGTTTACTGCCCAGCAAAACTATGGTACGCCTTGAAAAGTTCTGTCGTCTTATTTGCTGTGTTTGTCAATCTGTTCATAAAATTTGCTCACATTGTATTTACAATAAACTTGAGTGCATCTATGTGTTATTGAAATATCAAAATTAAAATTGCAAGTAAACAGAGATTATTTCTCGGACAGGTTTGTTAATTTACTATGTTTAAATATTATGAGCAATGACCTGGTAAAAGAGATGCTATGCATTTCTTAGGGAGGCCTTTGTTCAGTAGTGGACTAGTTGTAGTCTGTTATTGTAATGTGTTATAGAACAATACATTGATACTTTCAGTAACAGATCTGAGGCTGCCACAACACCCCGTCTGCTACATATACGACGAAGCGATGTTGAAACATAGGAACATATGCGAACCGTGAGTAGTTTCTTTTTATGAAATAATGTTCTCAACATTATCAAGAACATTGGCGTATTACAACAAGAAAGTTTAAAAAGCAGTCTATGATCATCAAACAAGTCTTCACGACATAAGTTTTCTCTTTTTCCCGAGATATGAGAGACCATATTCATGATCATCCGAGAGATGGATAATAGATCGCCACACTGCTCTAGTGTGATTTGACGTAATGTTTGTGAAATATATTTTTATTTAGACATACAAGTACCCTCATTTTGTTTCCGTTATAGCCAAGCACTGGCACAAAAATGCTGTAATATACAGGCTGTTAGTGTAAACACCGTTATCCTTGAAACCAGTGGTTTGGTTTCACTTATAGAACGTAATTTCTATGAATTAAAAAAAAACGCTATTTTCTTGCACACAATTTAAAGTTTCTGTCCGACACTGTCCGTAAATTCATGGATACCCTATGCGCCCGAGTGACGTAATGACTGTAAAGATCACTGCCCGTGCTAGCTACCTACACAACATTCCAATAAAAACACAATAGGTACACATAACCTGTGATGTAACTTTTCCTTCATACTTTCATCCTGGCTTAGGACAGGCAAAAATTGAGGAATTAAGGAAAAATTGAGATTTTACTAAAAAATGTTGTTATTTTTCATTGAATTTACGTTCTATGAGTGAAACCAAACGACTGGTTTCAAGGATAACGGTGTTTACACTAACACCCTGTATCTCCTTCTTCATCATCATCGGGCAGAGAATTGTTTTAATATTCGCGCTTGGCAGGTTTCTTTTTATATAAGAGGGGGCAAACGAACATGCGGCTCACCTGATGGTAAGTGTCGACCGCCGCCTATGAACAACTGCAACACCAAGAGAATCGCAGGTGTGTCACCGGCCTATTAAAAAGGGGTAAGCTCCGAAAAAATCACCGGTGGTAAAAGATTCCACAAATTAGTTGTACGATGAAGAAAACTCCTCCACACTACACGAGTTTGTGCTCAACTTACGCTCCGCTCGTGCTCGGCTCGTCTAGCGTAGACCCACCTTCAGACTTAGCGGTCAGCCGCCGTAGAGCCGTGTAAATCACCTGAGGATGCCTCCTGTAGAGGCGAAACACGTGTCGTATTATCGTTGGTGGTGTGTCTTTCCTGAAATAGTGGTGTTGGAAGTAGTGGTGCCGGGAGTAGTGGTGTTGGTGGGAGTAGTGGTGCTGGGAAAGTTTTGTTGCGATGTGCGTTGGTGAAATGACGTGAACCGTGAAACAGACGACCACAGCACTAGAAATGAGCACTTTTAACGCTGCTTCGCGTTGCTGGTCTGGTTATTTTTGGAATGGCGTGTACAACATTGTTATACCGCCATCTATGGCAGCCATAAGATTTCTCTGTTATTTTCTATAGTCGCCTCTACAACACCCACGGGACGAAATAGGGTGATGTCTTATGAATAGACCAGTTTTTTTATAGAATAAGGGTGACAAACGAGCACACAGTCCACCTGATGGTAAGTGGATGCTATGGCCCATAGACATCTACATTTATTCTCGATTAAGAATCAAAACGCAGATGCGTTATCACCCCTGAGGACTAAGATGGAATGCCTCGTTTCCAGTAAAAAAAGATCTCCGGATCTCTACACATACCATACGAAACACAGCAGCATTAAGCTACTATTTTACGCTGGTATTCTGTGAGAGCGTGGTCCTTCCCTGGTCGAGCCGACCCATTCGTGCCACAACCATAATATGGCTGCAGTGTGGCTCTACTAGGTAAGAAAGTTGATTTAAAATTTAATATATTTATAAGTGTGCTTCAGCTATAAACTTAAATAGAAAAGACTTGGCAGGAGATTTGGCCACAAGCAGGACTATTTTTTGTTAAATATTGCCAATTTTCTTGTTGTAGTGGGCACGTAGAATGTCCAGAGCGAATAATGCGCATACACGAGCGACACCGCGACTTCCAACTGCTGGAGAGACTGCATCAGTTACCCGCGAGGGCCGCCACTGACGAAGAAATACTCACTGTACACACAGAGAAGCATCTCAATAGGTATTATTCGTGGTTTTTTGTATTTTATCCAATAATAGTGAATCAAATAGCTTGGAATTGATTCAATTTTAAGCTGATTACAGTAAATATCACAAAGGGCAAGTTCCCGACGCCCGTTTTCTATATTAGGCGGTAGGACACCTTTTCTTGCAATTGACACTGATGCGTAATAGACACGTAACGATATATCGGACGTTGCGACTTCAGGCTGTGCAGTTAAACCGAACTTCCCCTATGTCTCCACACGCCACCGATATCGGGCTCGATCGTCAGTTCTCCGCAGGATTTGCGCATGAAACATGTCGTCCATGGTGGAAGATGATGACGCACTTGCGTTATTGGGCCTGATTATGTGTTTAAAGAAAGAAAAGTCTTTTTCGAGTAGCCCGTTGTAGGCGGCAATTTTTTGTTACCATCATGGTACTTCTTTTATTTTCTCTTGTAAAGGCAATCTTTTTTCTGTAGAAGACGGGGCAAACGAGCATACGGTTCACCTGATGTTAAGTGACTACAGCAGCCCATGAACAACCGCAACACCAGGGGTATTGCAGTTTGCTTGTTTTGCAGATTGCTCCTAGTGAAACGTACAGTGGTGGACCGCCAAGCATCCAGATGGTGTCGATGGTATCGGGAGGTTTGCCGCGTAGTGCGTTCATGTAATTTGGCGGCAGGGATTAATTCGAATAATTCCTCAGAGCACTCCCCGAGATAGATGCGGTAAAATACATAAAGAGATGCAACATTTCTTCGCAGCGCCAGTGAATCGAGCCCATCGGAAAGGACTCGGTCGTCGACGATTCGAGCCGCTCTGCGCTTGATGCGGTCAAGTGGAAGGAGCTCTTGATGCTCCGATCTTCAAGGAGGCTGGTGATCCAATTGCACAATTTCTCGGGAGGCTCATAGGAAGAGAGCTTCGTAAGAAGCGCTTTATGCCAAACCCGATCGAAGGCCGTCGCAATGGACATATCGAATGGAATGGACCTTGGACTCTACTGCCGCCGCCCATCTATGAGTCAGGTAGACCAGAAGATCACCGGCTGATCGACCATGACGGAAACCGTATTGGCGTTTCTATTAACACTTCCACTTATTCGCTGCATCTACCTCTTTCTACTTTCAATATGTTGCTATAGCATACATAGATTACAGCTTATAATGAGCATAGCCAAGCAGTGGCGAAACTTGAGTTGCGGTGCCGATGCCGCGGGTTCGAATCCTGTACGGAACAAATATTATTATTATTATTTTATTCTTCATTGCATCCTTAAACAAACACAGGGTGAAAACAAAAAACAAAGGGCGGATTTAATGCCTTGAGGCATTCTCTACCAGTAAACTCATGGAGTGGTGAGAATTTGACATAGGTGTGGCAATATAGAATAAAAGAACACAAAACAAATGATAATTAACTAAATGATATACACATACTACTAATAAATAAACTATACATATATGATCTCCTTACATATTACATATATACAAATATATAAATATATGCATATACACACAAATATACATATTTAAATACATACATAATTAGCACATACAAATGACTATAAATATCTGTTTAACAATACATATTAAATGGATGAGTCATGTAATATGCGTTGTCTTTAATAGATGTTCACGGACCAACTTTTTAAAAGTGTACTTATTGAGAGCATTTCTGATGTCATCGGGCAAGGAGTTCCAAAGGCGTGTAGCCTGATCTGTGAAGGAGTTACCATAGAACTCGGTGAAGTGAACAGGAATACAGATTTTATTGTTATAAGAACAGCGTAGGACCCTATCATGAGATGAGGAAAGATAATGAAATTTACTCTTAAAATAAGATGGTGAAGATGGGTCGTTTAATATTGTTACGAGCTTGAGGTTCGTGACAATAAAAATTGCCGATAAAATTACCTAAATTAACACTTTAATTTTCTTTACACAAATTTAAACTTAAAACACTAATAATTAATCACACTGATTCACTTTATTCCGCTCCGAAGCTTCGCTTGTCTCGCCAAATTCAATACTTCCCCGATCGCACCTTGCAGCGCCTATAAATACACATTAGTACCGAATCACAGAACATTCAAGTAAATACGCGCACCAATCGACAAAGCGCCGAAAGTTCGAGAGTCAGCTTCCAGAAGCTTAGTTCTTCCTTTCGACAACAGATGCCGCTGTCGGTTGAAAGATTAGTGATGTCATTTTCTGGAAAGCTCTCCCCTCGCTCCGTTACCCGACACTAGATGGCGCTAGTGCCAGATGTCAACTTAGCCGCGCAACAATATGGAAGAAAGCACAAGCAATATTCTGGAGTTGCGCCTCTGCCGGATTGTAAACCAATTTAGCTTAGATCTGTATTGCGAAATATGGTCATGTTTATGAAGCCCAAAGATAAATCTTATACAGTTATTGAGAAGGCGATCCAGCTTGCTCAGAAGACCGTGGGACAGGTCTGGGTAACACATATCTGCATAATTAATTATGGATAATATAAGTGATTAGACAAGCATGATCTTAGATTTTGTGGGAAGAAAATGTTTTAAACGATACAGAGAGCATAACGTGGCAGTGACTTTACGACTCGCATCTGAAACCTGATATCTCCAATTCAGCATGCTGTCGATGTAAAGGCCAAGATTTCTAACAGAGTTACTGAACGGAATTATAGTACTATCATAGTAAATATGAGGTAAGTCTGCTAGATTAATCTTAGCCAACATCCTTGGGTTACCCACCAGTATAGCTTGGCATTTCAAAGGATTGACCAAAACTCCATAATGAGTAGACCAATCTTTGATAGCTGATAAGTTTCCGTTAAGGTTTTGTATCCCATTATGGATATCCTTAATCTCATTTTGCACATAAAGCTGAAAGTCATCATACATTCAAATGGTATGAGCGGTCGATGATAGAGGTAATAAATTTTATAAAAATTGTAAACATTATAGGAGAAAGAATACCGCCTTGCGGCACACCGGCATCCACATCAGCCCAACCTGAGGTCATTTGCCACACACTGACTGACTGCTGTCAACCGCTAAGATAAGATGTAAACCAATCCAATTCAGTGGGGCCAAAATTCAGATGAGACATTATGGAAAGAAGGATTTCATGATCAACTGTGTTGAAAGCATTTGAGAAATCAACTAGTACCAGTACTGTTTTTTCTTCCATGCCTTGTTTAATATTATCAATAACATTAATTAATGCAGTAGTAGTACTATGACCAGGACGAAACCCAGACTGATATATACGTAGTAGGTTATGTTTCGAAATAAATGTAGAAATTTGCTTGTAAACACAGGATTCCAAAATTTTGGTAAGAAAGGGTAGAATCACAGAAATCTAAATAATAAGGCAATAGAAGTCGTAAAAGCGCGTGACCTTGTCGCCGCACATGTGACTCGTAGGCCACAAGCGCGCGAAGAGCGTTTGTTTCGGTCACTAGTTTTGTTTCAGACGCAGAGACGTAAAAATGGTGTTTTGAAGTATATCGAAATATGATTTTTTGTTAAATATTTATTTACACCTCGATTCTTTTTTGCTTTCTAAATATTTTATACCGTTAGCCGTTTATCAGCGATTATCTGTTTGTTCGTACTTTTAAATTACTTGATAAATTTTTATGCAATTTTAATATATTGTAGGGAAAATTATTATATTGTAAGGATAGTAGACTAAATACGATCTGTAAGAAGCCGGGTAACTGAAAAATAACAAACAGAAAGTCAGTACAGATCTTTAAAACTAATAAAAAATTATAAATATGTCACCCATACATATATTTATATTTGTTGCTGTTTGTATAATGTTGCATTTATTTTATTTAAACATCTCTTTATTTAATACAATGCTATTATTCCTGGTTTCCAAAAGATCCGGATATTAAAGATAAATAGATATACTTATCCTTAACGTTTTATTATATCCCCTTTTCTCTAATTATAAAGCGTCGAAAATCTAAATCTAAGACTAAATGCGTCTATTACTGAGACATTTTCAGTTAATTAGTTATATCTGGGTGTGAGACTCCTGGACGATCAACGACGCTTAATAGAAAGTCGTCGAAACGTGCGTTAGCTGCACTATTCCCAAGTGAGAGTGAGCGCGCAATGTCATTCTCTGTTTTTCGCACACGTTAATTATTGGACCGAGTAGCTACGCCTCCTGAGATTTTGCGTTTTTATAAAATATTCCTTAACGAAATAGCTTATAGTTTAATCTTTGTTGAATGAATATTAGACATGTGTAGGCGTAATTTATTGTTCGTCTATGTGTGGAAGCTGCGAACCGGCGACACGCGTCCTGATATTAAAAGACAGTAGAAGGCATTTCTATTGCCTTATTATTTAGATTTCTGTGGGTAGAATGTATATTGAGCGAAAATGATAGGGAAGAATGGGAGTAGGAACTTTTGGGAGAGGCTTTACAAAAGCCCTCTTTCAAAGGTTAGGCTACTGACCTGAATCAAGGGAAAAATTGATTATATGAGAAATTGTCGGGAGGAGGTACTCTAGTATAAATGCTACCATATGTCTACTAAACTGGTCATAACTCTCCGCCTTGGACTGGATTGCTAAAATCGACTTTTTGACATCATTCTGAGCCACAGAAGAAAAATTATAAGTAGGAATATTAGGGCGAAATGTTGGTTGATTTCATCCAGTGATAGAGAAGGGCCACAATCCAACGTAGCTGGCCTAAAGACCAAAAGATTTTAGAAATTTCCACACTAAAGCTGGAGAAGAGTTATTAACACAATTATGGAAATATCGGCCTCTAGCTGCACGTACCATCTGATTACAGCTATTCCTGGCTGCTTTGAAAGATAACCAATTTTCTTCAGTTCGATCTCTCTTCAAACGAAGAAAAGCACGATTTTGTCTAGACATTGCCATCCTTACGCCCTCTGTCATCCAAGGGGCAGGGAGGCGCTTCAATCTAACCTTGTGAACTGGAGCATGAGCATCATAAAGGTTAAGAATATTGTGGTTAAGGATAGAAATAAATATTTATACGGCCTACCAATAATTGTTTCGGGCCTGGATGTTTGTCCTTCTGCAATTCAAGTTTGTAAATTCCACGATACCGGAGAAAATCCTATTGCGGGAGTAACGTAAAACAAAAAAAAAACTATAAAGCTAGATGAAAGACGTTGTTGCTTTTAGGTTGCTTTTAAAGGTTTTATTATTTTTGTGTTTGTTCTGCACTTCTGAATTTAGTTCACAGAACTTAATTTTGGACATTGTTTTCAGGCTCAAAGAGCTTGCTGCAACCAAACTCCGTGACTTGAACAGTCAGAAAGAGGCCTTCGAGTCTGTTTACTTCCATCCCGATTCATTAGAAAGTGCGGCTGTGGCTATGGGGTGCGTTTTACAGGTGAGTGTAAATTTTCTGTTACATTATGATTTCTTATATTTACGCAAACACTACACATTGAAATAATACTAGTTTTTACGGAATTTATCGCGTATATTTAACTTTTTAAACGCTCCGGGAAGTCTGCAGTCTGTGAACACGTACAGGATCGCCCCCGTCACTACATCAGATTTGATAGACCGCAAATCCTCGCTAAAGAACACCGATTGCTTCCAAGGATGATTCGCGAGGCTATTGAAATCAAAAAACATCCTAATTTCAATAGAGAAGATGGCTGGGTGGGAAATTAAATCCCAACCCAAGCATACAACTGCAAGACTTCAAGATACCATAAGTTCATACTGCATAGATCGGAACAAAAGCTAAATATTAATCTATGGTAACCGCGGTTAACTATGACATATGGATGTTGAACATCTCAGTCCCGCCCGTGACCATGAGTGCTGTAAAGCGTTCGAAACGTCAGGTATTTAAAAAGTTAAATATACGCAATAAATTCCGTAAAAACTAGTATTATTTCAATTTCTGTTACATTAATCGCAGGAGGTAACCTTAGAAACTAGCTTTTATTTTAAATATATATGTATAACTCTCGGTAATACCTAGCCTTCTATATACATTTGGTGTTGCAAGATGGTCCCAAACTGAATTGGATGCCTTGGATAGACGAGTCCGTACATTGATGACTACGCACAGAATGCACCATCCGCGATCGTCTATTATGAGGTTGTATCTTCCAAGAAAAGACGGTGGACGGAGTTTACTCAACATTAAAAACCTACACCATCGTGAAGTATACAACCTCAGACACTATATTATAACAAAAAAAGGCGCATCACGCATTCATAGTGACGTAGTAATGAATGACAAATCATTAACCCCGCTTAATATGTCGGGCCTCACACTATGGCTATGAGCTTAGCGCAAAAAGGTTTGAAATGCCAAGTAGCTGCATGGTTGATTTTTTATAATATTGACTAATCCTGGTGGAGACATGGGTGCATCAGTACATTAGTTAAGAATTTTTTATAGGATAGGGTGACAAACGAGCACACAGTCCACCTGATGGTAAGTGGTTGCTGTGGCCCATAGACATCTACATCTATCCTCGATTACGATTCAAAATGCAGATGCCTTGTCACCCGTGAAGACTAATATGGAATCCTCGTTTACAGAAAAAAGAGTTCGATTTTCTACACTCACTATATGGAACACAGCAGCATTAAGCTGCTATTTGCCGCTGGTATCCTGTGAGTGTGACTGTGGAGATTTGGCGACCTATTTGTAGAAACTGAAGTTTTTGACGAAGTAATTAAAACCAACAACTACCGGAAGTACATTCTGAGGGATGGTACGGTTCACGTGTGTCGAGCATTTCATCGCCCTAGAGAATCCCTCAGACATGTAATTTTGGGTTGTCCCGAACTATCGAATGGTGAGTATTTGCACAGACATAACCAAGTAGCTAGGACAATACCCCATCTCAAGCCATTAAATTTGGTTTTACTTAAGAGGGCATTCCATATAAGTATGAACCAAAGCCAGTACTTGAAAATAGAAGTGTCACGCTGTACTGGGATCGGTCAATTATCAGAGACAGGATTATAGTAGTAAATAAACCTGACATTGTGGTATTAGAAGGAACAACACGCAAGACAATAATAGTGGATATCAGTGTTCCTCATGACGAGAATCTCGTGAAAGCAGAGAGTGATAAAAAAGAAAATATATCTGTCACGGTTAAGGTGAATACGTGAACTAACTCAATTTTATAACTGTCGAACTGTTGCTATTACTTTGTGTTGAAGGTTAACGTCAGCAGTAACGTACGGTTGAATCGTACAATTATACACGATATAAGTGAATGTTTACTGGCACAGGTGGTGGATGCGATAGCTTCGAACGTGGTGGGGTGCGGCGTGTGCGTGGTGCGGCCGCCGGGCCACCACGCGGACGACGAGCTGCCCAGCGGCTTCTGCCTGCTCAACAACGCGGCCGCCGCCGCTCGCCACGCCACACACATACACCACATGAGACGCGTGCTCATCCTCGACTGGGACGTGCATCATGGCAACGGCACGCAGAGGATCACCTATCACGACGATAAGGTACGTCTACACTGGGGATGTACATATATTTTTATTGAAGTGAATACATCTCAAACACTCAAAAATTCATTAAAATTACTCCAGCCTTTTATGAGTAGTTCAGTGACAAACACATGCATAAGAATTTTATATATATATATATAAATTTGAAACTTTTTTCTTAACTACTTTCAGTTAACATCAGTAGTTAACTAATATTAAAACAAAATTTAGAAATAAAATGAAATATTAAGTGTTGAAAATAATTACACCACTTATAAATTAATATCAAACCATCATCGTATGTATGAAATGAAAAAATGAGAATAATTTATTTAATAGTTAGATGTGCAGGCCTGTATCATGAGAATCATAATATACAATTTAACAGAAATAAAATGGGGATAAATATCATGACCACCAAAAAGAACTTTGCTACCATAATCACTATTACCTAAAATCTAAATCAATCTGCAGAAAAATCATAACTGCACTTGTCCGCCCTTTGTATTCTTTTGTTTAAGGATGCAATAAAGAATAAAACAAAAAATAAATAAATTATACTATGAAACCAAATTTAGTAAATTGATGATCATAATATTTTAATGCGCAAATTATTGCGCCATTTCTACCCAAATACACTGTTTGATTGCCATAAAATGTTGCTATACTACCACATATGATACATAACCTACTTCAAAGTTGCTCGTGCCCGCGCCCGCGACCGCGATCGCGCCACCCGCCGCTCTCACCCCCGAGTGCCCGAACCGAACCGATCCCCCACAATTTAGTCACGCGAGAGCACTTGCGTATGATACTTGTGAGTTTTGTAGATTCTGTTTATAGACATTTATTTTATCATGGAACGTTGAGTGACTCATCAAATTCGAAAGAAGGAGGCTGAGGTGATAAAATCACAGACCGTTCGAAAAAACGTCGAAGGCAAGGTAAAATTTGGGCTTTTGAAAGAAAATTTGTGAATGTGCGAAGCACAGAGGAATTTACAAAAAATGAGAAAACTTGGTCAATACAAAATGTTCATATGACTGAAGAAGGAGTAAAACGTTACATAAAAACATAAAACATAAAACACTCACGCCTGTCACCCAGAGGGGTAGGCAGAGACTACAGACTTCCATTTGGCACGATCCTGACACACCTCTCTCGCCTCCTTCACATCCATACATCTACGCATGCATGCTCGTCGGTTAAGGGTACTCCTAATTTGGCCCGTTTTCAATAAATCGCCAATTTGGTCAATAAATTTTCGCCTAGGACGTCCCTTTCCGACTCTGCCATTCACTTCTGCAACATAAATTTTCTTTGTCACTCTTTCCTCATCCATTCTTTCCACATGACCAAACCACCGAAGCATTCCTTTCTTAATCCTGGTCACAACATCATCTTGCAAACCACACTCTTCTCTTATTACACAATTTCTTACCCTGTCATTCAGATTCAGCCCTAACATACTCCTTAACGACCGCATTCTACTGTGTTTATTCTACTCTCGTGCTTCTTCTGCCACACCCAACTTTCACTACCATACGTTAAAGTAGGGACCAACACAGCATTGTGAATTGCCATACGTGCCTTTTTCCACACATTTTGACTCTTCACAATAGAGTGCAGGGCCCCATTTACTCTGTTTCCTGCGTTCACTCGTCGTTCTATATCCTTATCATATCTCCCATCCCTGCTAAATACGCAACCCAAGTATACAAACTCATCTACTTGCTCGATCAACTCCCCATCTATTCTTATTTCACATATCGTTTTACTTTCATCTCTTTCAAAAACCATAATTTTCGTCTTACTTGCGTTCACTTTCATACCCCTTTCTTTTAATGATCTGTTCATTAATGTAACCATCATTTGCAACTCAGCCGCCGACGACGCAAGAATAACTTGATCATCGGCGTACAAAAGGCATTTGATGGTTAACTCACCCATTCTTAATCCGCATTCTTCAACTTTCAAATTTTGCAAACAACTGTCCATAAATAGGTTGAACAACCACGGGGAAGCCACACAGCCCTGTCTGACACCTTTATGGATGCCAAACCAGTCGGAGTAGACCCCGTTGATCCTAACACAAGCACTAGAGTCCCTATAAAGAGATTCCAATGCCTGTATCAAGCCAGCGCTCAACCCAAATGAGTTCAGTGTTTGCCATAGCACATTCCTATCCACTCTGTCATAGGCCTTCTCCAAGTCCATGAACGCAAAAAAACCTTTTGGTTTTTGGCCAAAAACTTCTCCGCGATCATGCGCATGGAGAAGACTTGATCTGTACATCCCATTCCCTTTCTAAATCCCGCTTGCACATCCCAAATTTTTCCATCGGTTTCTTTCATGACCCTTTCAATTAGTACCTTGGCATACAATTTTCCCACGATGCTAAGAAGGCTGATACCGCGGTAGTTTTTACAGTCCTGCTGCGACCCTTTTCCCTTATATACTGGGACTATCACGGCTTTGCACCAGTCTCCCGGTACCCGCTTCAGTTCCCAGCATAAATTAAACAAGGTGTGCAGCAGGCCTGCCACCACTTCCTCTCCAGCCCTTAGCATTTCGAGTGAAACTCTATCATAACCGGCAGCCTTACCTGCTTTCATGCTTTTCATTGCTTTCATTATTTCATCTATACTTATCTCGCTACCTCCTTCCTCTTCTTTCGGAGTTCCTATTTCATTCAGTTCATACGTTGTCTCCTCACTCATAAAACGTTACTGCATGAAATTCTATGTTCTGCCGCGAGTTATGTTTTATTGATGTGAAGATATATTATTCTTTCGTACTTACTCTCGGTCCACTAGAGGACTAAATGAGAAAACAAAAAAGGAAATAGAAAAGCTATTTAAAATGCATTTGAAACCGAAATCTATTATGAAAACTTTAAGTAAAATTGATGGTATAATTCAGCCGACTAAGTTACAGTTAAACAACTATCTTAAAATTGTACGTCAGAATTAATACGGGCCAGCACTTATAAGTTTAGGAGAGCTTGAATCATGCTTAAAAGAAAACTCACAAGTACCTGACGAAGACAATCAGGTATTCGTTGCGGCTTATGAAGTTTCTTAATATGATTTAGATCCGAACATCCGATTTATGCTATCGACAAAGTATTTAATTGGTCTATCACGCCAAAGTCCTGCACGCCGATGCCATATACAAGCGCATCTGGCAAGGGTTTTCTGTGTAATGAGAACTACCTACAGATAAAAATAAACATTTTCACCCGTTTGATGCTGTCGCAACTACAGAACGAACGGGAGACACATTTTTATTTTCCGCATTAAAAACGCAGCTTTCTCCCTCTACTCACACATTAAACATGTAAAGTTTTGGTCTGTGATGCAGATAAAAGTATACAAACCGCATTTGCGCGTTTTTTTGGAACTGATGCAGTTATTATAAAATGTGCTGAGCGTATGCGAAAAAGAAAATTCAATCAAGAATAGAGCAGCGTCAAAAAATTCACAGAAAGAAATACTACAAGATATTGATGACTTACAGTGCGCCTCAACCCAGGAAATATTTGATCGAGCCTGCGAAAAATTCATGGACAAGTGGAAAAGAAATTTTGGCATACTTTGACAGCAACTGGCTTATGCTGAATCGGTTCTGGTATTTAGGCGCATCTACCGGGACTCCTGCTGCAAATAATGCTTAAGAAGCTTCTAACAAAACGATAAAAGATGTTGGCACACTTTGTGAGCGTATACTTTTATGCAAGCATCTGGTTGGATTGACAATTCGACTTAAACAGCTGCCTTCAGAGGCAAGAGCCATTCCAATTGGTGTGAAACGTAAAAGAGGACGACCAGCAAAAGCTAAGAAAGCATAGTGCAGTAAATTTTAAAACTACTATTTTTAGTACTAAAATTTTGACTTTTTACTGATTTTTCTTCTTATAGTGCAGTAAATTTTAAAACGAAAAGTTTTGATATCAGAATATTGACTTGACTGATTTTTTGTTCTTTTCTTGATTATAAAATTACTATCTAAGTACTTAGGTAGTTAATTACTTAATACTTATTTAGAAGACCGATTCTTAGAGAATTTGATAATTTCTCTATTTTTTCTGTTTAACATAAATGTTAATTACACAGTCTGATTTTTAAGTTTGTTTAAATTTTAATTAAAGGATTATTTTAATTATATGAGTTGTTTATTAATAAACATTATTGAATAAACGCGAAACAGAAAAAAAAAAACTATTTAGTTAGTAAGTGGTTAATAATGAAAGTCATAAAAAGCTCAGGTATTAGTAATGAATTTATAATATCATACGGTCAAACTTTAGGGGTTTATTACCATTGATATAATATTTATTTGGAATAATTTACTTTTATAGGATAAAAAGATGTTACATATTTAAATGTCATTTTATATTAAAATACTGTTAAATTTTTTGTGGACATTAACTATTTTTTGATTAAACTATCATAATTTGGAGTTTTTTTTTTAAGTAAGATCACTAGTTGTAAAATTATTGAATCTAATTCCACGCTAAAATGGGTATTTAATTTTAGTGATTATTTACTATTTTTGGCAATATAGGTTACTTTAACATAAGCTAAATAATATCGGCTGACTACAAAAGTTTGTATTTTGAATGAACTTTTAAATTTCCATGTTTTTAAATCTCTTCCTCATCCTTATTTTATTTATGATGTTGTGATGTATGATGTGATATTTATAAATATATACTTAAACATACACATACATATCGTCTCTTTATTATATACAAATCGTCTCTTTATTATATACAAATCAATTGTTGTCCATTAGTCATGCTAAAACTCAAAACTGGCTCGATTAATTCTGATGAAATTTTTGTGTTTAAGTGGCTGGACCACCCTCTGTCAACCCAGGATGGTTTAGATTCACAATTGGATGCGATACGATGAGCTGTTGTCGAGATTGAAAAATCACTCGAGCGAAGCCAGGGCACATCGCTAGTAAAATAACATATATTAATAATATATAATATTTTGCATTAGTAACTATATGCTCAATATTTGGCATATAGTTATTATGACAATACATATATTAATAATAAATTATTTAAGAAATTAAATATTAGTAAATAAATAAGTAAGAAGTAACTATATGCCCAATATTAAGCATATAGTTACTATGATAATTTTTGGACCTGCTGCTCTGTTCATAGTTGAGCGTAAGCAACCAATTACGTATTTTTTCCTAGCTGTGTTTGTCGAGCAATGTTTTATTTTTAAATTTTTTTTTAATGTTTCGTGATTGCAGATAATGTACATGTCGGTGCACCGGTACGATAACGGGTCATTCTTCCCGCAGTCTCGCGATGCAAACTACGACGCCGTCGGGCGAGCACGTGGGGAGGGATACAATATCAACATACCCTGGAATAAGGTCACCCTTAAATCTTCATCAGCTCGTCAACATTGTTACAACACACCATCATATTTCGAAATGTATACCACTCTGCAGCATATAGCATATAGCACGATTGGGACAAGACCGGGGAGAATCATGCTCTCACACAATACTAGCGTAAAATAGTAGTTTCAATGAAATAGGGCCTTAAAGTCATGGTCATGTATTTTTCTAGGTTTTGGTTTGAGTTTAGCAGTGGTAGACATCGCGAACCTTCAACGTTGTTGCCCATCATCGGTCTGAGTATTTTACTTAATAACCCGCCCCAGCTTTTAGATAGATAGATAGATAACTCTTTATTGCATTTGAACAAAGTTATTACAATAACGGAAAACTTATGAGCTACAAACGGCGGTCATATCGCTTTAAGCGATTTCTGCTTGACAAACCGAACACAAAAGGACTTTATAATTTCATATTTTGACAGATAGGTGAAACGTGCAATATGAAATAAACATGAAAAAAAATTATTAAGAATAATATTTATAAAAATATATTAATAATATATACAATATTTAATTATTATAAATATATATATTACATACTTATAATATATATACATAGATATATATACATATATATGTACAATAATTTTAATTTAATATATTCAAACATATACTGCAGAGAAAATTTAACAAAAAAAAATCAAGTATATATGAGAGAGAAAATACATATAATTTATTATTATGACGGGAACTTCAAATAATACTCCTTAAGTAGTTTTTTTAAAAGACTGTAAAGATTGCGCTTTCTGAATGTTAAGTGGTAATGAATTCCAAAGTCGCGTTGCTAGTGAAGTAAATGATTTATTATAAAATGAAGTTACGTTGTAAGGAGTATTTAAAGCCAAGCTGTACACTGAACGCAAATTGCGGTTATGAATTTCATGTCGATAGTGAAATTGTTCCTTAAGGTACCTTGGAGATTTCTGATCAAACAGTACACAAAAAAGTAAAGAGAGTATATGAACATTCCGGCGAAGGCGAATAGGGAGCCACTTGAGTTGATTTCGAAATTGGGATACATGATCATATTTGCGTAAACCAAATATGAATCGAATGGATATATTCTGAAGACGCTCAAGCTTGTTTAATTGCTCCATGGTAATATCAGTGTAACATATGTCAGCATAGTCTAAAATAGGTAACAAAATGGAATGTGCTTACGCAATTTTGGTAGAAATGGCAATGGCAACAAGCTGCAAACATTTTCTTGCGTACTGTCAATTAGAACCCCTAGATTTTTTACAACCTTTCTATAAGGAATAACAGAATTCTCAAAACAAACAAAGGGCAGCGTATGCCATGTAATTTTTTGTAGTAGTTTGCTTCTATTCAAACTAGAAAATAGATACCTATCACTATTACCTGTGTTTTACTAGGGTTAACCTTGATTCCATAAGATGTTCAAAATTCAGAAATAATTGAGAGATCACGATTTATGGATAGCACGGCGGATGGAAGATTTTCAATACTTGTTTGAGAATATATTTGGAGATCGTCTGCATAAAGATAGGTAGAGCGAAGAAATTCCTGAAGTAATAGAGCGTATGAAAAATTGAGAAAAGGAGAGGAGACAACACGCCACCCTGTGGTACGCCTGCATCTAGAGACACCACGAGGAATAAGTGTCTTCATTACGGATGCATTGACGGCGTTCAAACAAGTAACTACGAAACCAGTCGGTTGCTGCTGGAGATACGTTAATAGAACGAAGCACAGCTAGAAGTATGTCGAAATCGACTGTGTTGAAAGCAATGCTAAAATCAAGAAGAGTAAGAATAGTAACTTGCCGATTCTTCATACCTGCTTGAATGTCGTCTGTGATTTTAACCAAAGCAGTGACGGTGCTATGGCCAGGGCGAAAACCTGATTGAAATGTATTTAAGAGGCTATTTTGATTCAAAAATAGACTAAGTTGCTGATGAACAAGACGCTCAAGAATTTTAGAAAGAAAAGGTAATATGGAAATAGGACGATAATCACAGAAGGAACTTGGGATTGGATTTCTTGGGTAATGGAATAATTTGTGCATCTTTCCATAATGTAGGAAAAGTACCTGTATTTATAGAGTTGTTGAAAATTTTGGTTATGATAGGAGTCAAGATATCTAATAGCGGGAGAATCATGTTTCGGCTGACATTATCACTACCAATATTCAGAGAAATCGGGAGTTGGCAAAGAATGAAGGTGATTTAAGGTTCTAGATTTACAACTGTTAACGTGACTAGAACTTGAGGAAAAGTGCTGATTAAGCATTTCAATGTTTAAATCAGGAGGAAGGGAGTCATTTTGCTTCTTACCAATTCCCAAGCTTTTGAGAAAAATTTCCAAACCTTATTAAGGATCAGATTCATCAATCATGCGTCGTTGCGCATCTCTACACATCGTGTTGCAGCGATTCCTAACTTCTCACCATTTATATCACAGGGGTCTTTTTTAAATTTGGATTTGGCTAGGTTCCTTCTTAACATTAGGTCTTTGATTTCATTTGTGAGCCAAGGAGCCGGCGGATGCTTAAGTTTAATTGGTCGTAAAGGTGCATGCTTTTCGTAAAGCTGCATTAAAATGGAATTTAAAAGACGCACTTGTTCGTTAACGTCAGAGGTCTCATCAATAATTGACCAGTCTATGCTATTTTTAAGACATTCTACGTCCATTTTAGCAAAATTACGTAGCAGAAGAACACGGGACATGACTTTTGGTGATCATAATTTATAAGACAAAAACAACAGATCATGGTAAGAAAAAGCATCGGCATTATGCTGGCCGTGTTTGAATATATAATCTGGAGAGGAAACAATTATTAAATCAAGAAAAGAAGGGGTACTATTAGGAAAGTAATGGATAGTAAGTAGGATTAGAAGGCAAAATGTAAAGATTACATGAGTCAATTACGGACTTTAATTTCTTTGACCGAACATCATTTTTAAGAAGACACGTATTGAAGTCACCCACAATGATAACATGTTTACATGTCGGAATCAATTCTTCCAAAGTTTTTTCAAAGGCAGAAAAATAATTAACAGAGATAGAGGGACTGTAAACAACGCCTAAGAGAACTTTGAAGGAAGAAAGTGTGACTTCAATAAAAATATGTTCTGCTGCACTTTCAACAATTGAGGTGGACGATGTGCTGACTATGGAGTAATATAATATCTTTACGAAGATATATGGCATCCCCACCACCAGTTCTGATGAGTCGGTCATTACGCAGCATATGAAAACCTGGGATTGCATACGAAATGGATGGTAAACAAGGCTTAAGCCAAGTTTCAGAGACCAGAATTGCACGAATGTTTTTGTTGTTTAAACTTGTTAGTATATCAGGATAGTGTGCGGGAATGCTCTGTGCATTTATGTGTATTACATTGAAATTTTTAGCACAATCTAAGAAGCAAGTTTTACGCTTTAGACGTGGAGTTGCGGAAAATAACCCTTTGTAAATTAAACTAAACAAGGTAATTTATACGGCCATCTATCGGATACCGTGAGAGCTCTCTGAGTTGAGTCTCTGTTTTGTTTTTGTTATCAAAATAAAATAGTCTTTTTGTAATGAACTAAAACCTGACTTATATATAGAGAATTTTGTAAAGATTTTATAATGCCAAACTTCTTCATAGAAAAGTAGTCTCCAAATATAAGTTTTAATGGTTTTAAGTGCTGCGGGTGGGCGCATGCGAGTGCATGAGAATTTTAAGGGGACTGAGGGGTTAAAGTCCGCTCTTACGACATGACGTGGAACGGTGGAATACAAAATTATTAACCCTTGTTAACAAAAGAGCTCATATTTTATATGTATGTATTTATAAAAAGAACTTTCCTAACAGCGTGGAATGGGTGACACGGAGTACATGGCAGTGTTCACACAAGTGATTCTTCCGATCGCCTACGAATATAACCCGGAGTTAGTCATCGTGTCCGCTGGCTTCGATGCCTGCGTTGGTGATCCGTTGGGCGGTAAGTTTATTTTTCATTGTTTTATATATATATATATATATATATATGTGCATGCTGCTTACCTGATACCCACCCATGAACAAATGTAAACACCAGTGGAACTGAATTTCTAGCGAGTTATGTCTATGAGCTCGTTTTCATGCAAATCCAAAGCCATAAAGGAAGGTAAATAGATATGTAGATAAATAGAGCGAAAAAATGAAGGAAATGATCGTAACGAACAAAAGCCAAGCAATAGAAAGTAAAGTAATAGAAGATCGCAACTATATTATAGTTGTAGCACGAATGGGTCGTCTCGACCGGGGCAGGAACACGCTCTCATAGAATAGCAGCGTAATGCTGCTGTGTTTCGTATGGTGAGTAGGGCTTACTATTCGAATATTCGTTTTATTCGAACATTCACCTCATATAATATTCGAATAATATGTAGAGTGATATTCGAATTTTTCGAATACTAAAAGTAACATAGAGATAAATAGAATTTAATAATAAAAATATTTCAGAACATTTTTCAGCCGTAGAAATCTAAATATTGGAAGATCTTTCCAACACGCTGAACTTAATAAAGGCAACAGTTGAAGCACTTTACGAACATAAGGCAAACATGTGAAACAGCCCTAAAGTTTATGATAACGAAGCTTACGGAAATAATAGCACAATAAGCCTAGTGAACTAGCTGAATCAATGAAAATTCGCATATCGCAAAGATCTTTAGAACTGACAGGGACTTTAAAATATCTGCACAACTACTTAAAATTCATCAAGAACTGCCTTCTGATGTATTTCCTAATCCCTCAAATGAGATGATGGTTGAAACAATAACCTACATCAATAAGAATTTTTTTTATTAAAGAACGTTACCCCTACACTAGGATTTTCTCCTGTATCGTGGGGGCAGTTTAGAAACATAAATTGCACAAGGACAAACATCCAGACCCGGAACAATTATTTGTAGGCCATACAAATACTTGTTCCGTGCGGGATTCGAACCCGCGACCCCCAGCGCAGCCACTCATTGCTAAGCCACTACGCCACGGAGTCGTCTCTAAGAAATATTAATAAGAAATAATTTAAGACAATGACCAGCAACATTATTTTCGATGAAGATGATGAATTCACACTTTTTGATTTACAACAGCGGGAAAGAAGGCTTAAAAATTCTCTTGCTGACTGAAAAGTATCTAAGAGCAGCTGCGAGATCAAATTGATGATACATTGATTAATAAGACGACTTCATCCCCCTCATCTACACTTAGTTCTAACAAAGACTTAGAAATTGCAATATGTATATAGATGGCATCTTATGAGGCTGGAGGTTTAAAAAATGTACATTTAATGAGGGCATATAATTTTTTGTTAATGATTCCTCCAACAAGTGTAGAATCGAAAGTGTGTTTTCGACATGTAGGATGACATGCACTACCTTCGTTGCGCCTTAAATGATAACACTCTAGACTGCCTTTCATTTCTCAGGTCATATTATCAAAGCAAGAAGTCTTGATTATAGTCAACCAAATCTAAGAAATACCTTTTGACCTTTCACATTAATCATTCAGCAATAACTTTGCACAAGCGTACTCACACGATTTTAAATAACCTTTTACGTAAATCCGAAGAATTATGAAGTTATCTATATTTCTTTACAACGTGTATAGGTTTTTATCACTAATTTAAATTTTAATTTTTCGAACAAAGCAAAATATTAAAAATTAACCAGTATCAACTTTTTAACATGACGTCGTTACAATAATATGTCGCTATGTACATTACTGTAGTGTTTGGATGATTAAAATTCATTGTTATGCGAATAATCGGCAAAAATATTCAAATAATCGGTAAAAATATTCAAATAATCGAATCATTACATAATTATTTTAATTTATTATTTGTTTAATTTAATTTTTATTTTTAAAATTAACATAACACAACATAAATTTGTCTAGGCAATAAACTCATATACCTATTATAAAAAACCACTACGTAATTTGAATAGCCGCCATTTCGGGAGCTTATTGTGCGTAATTTTGTGATTTTGTGTTTGTCTTCTTATTTTGTGACTCAGCTTTAACTTTTTGGACTGTTTCTTCTATATTCGTTGAAGCATGTGCCCATGTCACAAAGGATCGTTGGGCAAGTGTTAATTTTTTTATATTGGATGACTTTGAAAGAGACATTAATTTTGACTACATTATTGAAAAAATAATAATTAATCTTAACGACGACAGCTCAACTAGTTGTACTGATATTGATTGAATAAATTTATTTTTAATCTTAAATTTTTATAACTGTGCCTCTAGAAATAAGCAGTAACAACAAATACGTACAAACTGATAAATCTTGTGTTTTAAATTGTCCGTTTTTAAGTTATTCCGGTATTATTCAAACCAAACTGTAAATGATTACCAACTCTACGTAATCGATATCGATTATTTTAAGAATCGAATATTGTACATTCCCATTTTTTGATTGGCATGCCTGGTGTAATAAGTCTGACAGCTGTCAAAACGTATTTCTTAGATTTGGTTGACTATAGTAACTTTTTGATAAACTTAACTTTTCATTTGTTAAATAATTTCTTACCTTTTATTCATAAGTACATAGATATATTGCAGTCATTTTTTTATTTCAACATTTTGAAAAGACTAATTTTTTTGGTTTGGTATGAGAAGTCGATTTTATTGTAGTTTTAAAATGTTAACTTTATGTGTATGTATAATAATAGAAGAATTTATTTCATTTATGTCTCATAGAAGAAAAATATGTAGAAGTTGATTAAATAGTTTTTCTCTTAAATTTAACATATAAGAGAAACATATTTGTTATTATTTTTGTTACGTCTGACAGTTAGTGATTTATGCCAAAAAATATTTAAAAAAAATGTTGTTCGTCTTATTTTTCTTTTGAAACTCTATGTATATTAAATGACATGTTGTTCCTTAAGTAGAAAACATTCGAAAAATTCGTAATATTCGAAAAATTCGTAATATTCGAATAATTCGAATAGTATGTGGCGAACTATTCGAAATATTCGAATAGTAAAATTGAACGAATAATGCAAGCCCTGATGGTGAGTGTAGAGAACCGGAGACCCTTTTTACTGAAATGGCACGGTTCACGTTTAACCGATCATGCGGGGAGATCTGTTCATGATTTTGCCTTGGCATATGGTCTGACACAACTGGTTACTTCGCTACGCGGATTCCAGATGTGGAGGATCATACACCTTCCCTGTTGGACCTTCTGCTGACCTCTCACCCGGACGGATATCAGATTTCCGTCGACGCCCCTTTAGGCTCCTCGGACCATTGTCTTGTCCGGAGTGTGGTGCCACTCACGCTGAAATCGCGGTTGCATTCTGCAGGCTGCCGCCGTGTTTGGCACTATAGGTCAGCCGATTGAGATGGGATGCGGTCTTTCTTTGCATCCTACCCTTGGGGGCGAGTTTGCTTCTCGCCGGATGATCCCAACGTTGTTGCGGATTCTGTCGCTGATGTGGTATTTCAGGGTATGAAACTTTTTATTCCTTCCTCTGTGGTGCCCATTGGAGGCAAATCTCAGCCATGGTTTGGTCTCTCCTGTAAAATAGCATCATGCTATAAGCAGGAGTGCTACCGAGCCTGGGCTGACGCATCAGCGTCCAGGGATGTAAACACCAGCGCTCTAAAAAAGAAGTATAATTCCGCCTCTAGGTCCTTCAAAAGAGTCATTGCCAAGGCAAAGTCAGAGCACATAGGCAGAATTGGCGAGAGACTAGTTCGTCTTCCTTCTGGAACCCGTGCATTCTGGTCTCTCGCCAAGGCTGTCCAGGGGAATTTCTGTCAACCATCTCTTCCATCTCTGCACAGGGAGGACGACTCACTGGCCCACACCGCAAAGGAGAAAGCCGATCTTCTAGGCTCTTTCTTTGCGTCTAACTCGACTCTCGATGACGGGGGAGTACGTCCGCCGACCATCCCGCGGTGTGAGTGCTCCATGCCGGAAGTGCAGTTCACTCAGCGCTCGGTTCGCAAAGCACTCCTCTCCCTGGACATCCATAAGTCGAGTGGGCCTGATGGAATCCCCCCAATTGTGCTGAGGACGTGTGCTCCAGAGTTGGCACCGGTTTTAACGCGTCTTTTCCGGTACTCCTACTCCCTAGGCGTAGTCCCAAAATCATGGAAGACGGCTTTCGTCCACCCGATCCCTAAAAAAGGCGACCGCTCAGACCCGTCCAACTACCGGCCTATCGCCATCACCTCCTTGTTCTCCAAAACAATGGAGTCCATTGTAAACTGCCAGCTCATGAGGTACCTTGAGGATCACCAGCTGATTAGTGACCGCCAATACGGTTTTCGCCGTGGTAGGTCAGCTGGTGATCTTCTGGTCTACCTAACTCACAGATGGGCGGAGGCAGTAGAGTCCAAGGGGGAGGCATTGGCCGTTAGTTTGGACATTGTGAAGGCCTTCGATCGGGTTTGGCACAAAGCGCTTCTTTCGAAGCTCCCTTCCTATGGGCTTCCCGAGAAATTGTGCGATTGGATCACCAGTTTTCTTGCAGATCGGAGCATCAAGGTCGTTGTAGACGGTGCAAGCTCCGATTGCAAGCTTATTAATGCTGGTGTTCCACAGGGCTGCGTGCTATCGCCAACGCTGTTTCTTCTGCATATCAATGATATGTTGCAAACCAGTAGCATTCATTGCTATGCAGATGACAGCACTGGTGATGCTCTTTACACCGGCCGAGCCAATATTTCTCGGGAAAACGTCTCTGAGTGCCGGGACAAACTTGTGTCTGAAGTCGAGTCTCTGCTGGACAAAGTCTCGGATTGGGGGCGACTAAATCTAGTCCAGTTTAACCCCCAGAAGACACAAGTTTGCGCGTTAACTGCTAAAAAGAACCCCTTTGTCGTATCCCCTCAGTTTCAAGGCACTCCCCTTGTTGCCTCAGCCAGTATCGGAATCCTCGGCGTCGACATATCGAGTGACGTGCAGTTTCGTGGTCACTTGGAAGGGAAGGCCAAATTGGCCTCTAAAAAGCTTGGCGTGCTCAGCAGAGCGGGACAGTATTTCATGCCGGCACACCGCCTGCAACTTTACAAGGCGCAGGTTCGGCCGCTCATGGAATACTGTTCCCATCTCTGGGCTGGGGCTCCCCAGTACCAGCTCCTTCCACTTGACCGCATCCAGCGCAGAGCGGCTCGAATCGTCGACGACCGAGTGCTTTCCGATCGGCTCGATTCACTGGCACTGCGAAGAGATGTTGCATCTCTTTGCGTATTTTATCGCATCTATCACGGGGAGTGCTCTGAGGAATTGTTCGGATTAATCCCAGCCGCCAAATTTCGTGAACGCACTACACGGCAAACGTCCCGATACCATCCACACCATTTGGATGCTTGGCGGTCCACCACTGTACGTTTCAAAAGGAGTTTTCTTCCGCGTACAACCTCTCTGTGGAATAATTTACCACCGGTGATTTTTCCGGACCGATACGACCTGGGGACCATTCAAGAAAAGAGCTTACTCCTTTCTAAAGGGCCGGCAACGCACCTGCAATTCCCCTGGTGTTGCGGTTGATCATGGGCGGCGGTAGTCACTTAACATCAGGTGAGCCACATGCTCGTTTGCCCCCTCTTCTATAAAAAAAAAAATCGAGGCATTCCATCTTAGTACTCAGGGGTGACAACGCATTTACATTTTGATTCTTAATTGAGGATAAATGTGGATGTCTATGGGCCACAGCATCCACTTACCATCAGGTGGACTGTGTGCTCGTTTGTCACCCAATGCTATAAAAAAGAGAGCAAACGAGTTGCATGACTCACCTGTGAACAACTACGACACTAGGGGGATAGTAGGTGCATTATCGGGCTTTTAGAATGAGTAGGCTCTCTTTGTGCCCAAGTGTATAGAGTGCAAGAACAGATGCACTCTCTGTTCCCTTACTCTCATAGTCCGATGGGACGGCAATCTAATAAGAGAGAAGACAGATCAAGCACAGGACTTACGGGCTTTACGTGCTTTCCGAGGTATGAGTAAGGGTGTGAAACACCGCTAACTTCCTAACTCCGGGCTGCTACTGAACATTTCTTGACAGATAAACGCAATAACTGATTTTTTGGTCAGACCTCAGATTCGAATCAAAGGTCTCATCAGCTCACCTAGTTTACGACCACTTAACTAACTGGGCAGTCAATTGAATTGTTATAGCAAACATTTTATAGTATTTTTGTAACATTGGCCGTCTTAATACAATAAGTAGTTTAAAATTAGTCTCAGAGTTAAACTAGACCCGGTTTCAATAATGAAGTCCCGTGGAAAATACGCGAACTAAAATGTAAAATATGGAATTTTACAGCAAATGTAAAATTTCTCGAAAAAGACAAAGGCGCCTAGGCCAAGAGACTTCTTTCGTCACCAATACACATCCGAGAGTATATCCACAACTAATCCGCACTAACCACGGTTTTTATAAGACCGTAGAAATCTAAGCATATTTAGTTCTTATTTTAACTTTATATTTTTCTTAACTAGCAACCCTAGATTTGCACTGATGCAATGTTGACGCAATATGCATGTATTATACATATAAAACATCCTCTTGAATATATCTGTCTGATGATGAAAACTGCAGCATAATCCGTTGCGTAGTGTAAAAGATGTAAGCGTACAGACAGCGGGAAGCTACTTTATTTTACTATTTTTGTTAATTTGCTCATTGTTCTTTGTAGGTTGCAAAGTTACGCCAGAATGCTATGGGAAAATGACTCACCTGCTTCGAGGTTTAGCTGGTGGAAGAATTATTCTTTGCCTGGAAGGAGGTTATAATACGACCAGTATATCCTATGCAATGACCATGTGTACCAAAGCCCTTCTCGGCGACCCCATACAATACCATTACGATCCTAAAGCAGTTTGCCATTGGTCTGCTATAGAGTCAATCAATAATGTTATCAAAACTCATAAAAAATATTGGAAGAGTTTGAAATTCCAATTGGCTTTACCAATAGAGAATGTCCTAGGAGAACCACTACCTTCTAGAGGTTTGATTACAGATGAATCTAATCACACAGATATACAGAAAATACCTAAGTTGTCAGCTTCAACACCATTGAATGAATCATCTAATGACAGTTCTAAGTCGTTCAATCAACTCGACTCGTCTTTAGAAAATGACATGCTGAATTTGAGCATAGGCAAAACGAAATGTTCTGATGGTGTACATTGCGGTACTGATGATGAAAACGAAGACGAGTCTAAACTGCTTAATAAGAGCAGAGCAACTGAAGAGGGTCCAGGGTCTTCAAAGAATGTGATTGATAAAGGAGACTCTAGTAAAGAGGTAGAAGGAAAGAAAACTCTCGTTGATTATTTATCGGAGAACATGCAAGCTCTTATCGAAGGCGAAATGTTTGCAGTCGTACCTTTACAGTGGTGCCCGCATCTTGATAATCTTTTTGCGATACCCCCATCAGTTAAATTTGAACAGGGAGTTAAATGTGTGGACTGCGACGAGACGAACGAGAATTGGGTCTGTCTGCATTGTTATGTTGTGAGTACTCGTTTTATTTTGGAAATTAATAGTGTGTTTGTATGTGTAAATACTATTGTTAACATTCTAAATATGATTAAAAAAAATAAAAATATTTATTATTAAATTATATCATGGTGGTGCCACCTATATTATAGTTTTTGCGCGAAAGGATCGGCTCGACCAGGGAAGGACCACCCCCTTATAAAACACCAGCGTAAAATAGCATTTAATGCTATGCTGTGTTTCGTATGGTGAGTGCAGAAAACTGGGGTACCTTTTTGTTGGAAACAAGGCATTCCATCTTAGTTCTCAGGGGTAACAACGCATCTGCATTTTGATTCTCAACCGAGGATAGATGTAGTGTCCATGGGTCAGAATATCCACTTACCCTCAGATAGAAGTGTTAAATGTTTATATTTTTATGGAAAGGCTGACTGTAACTAGCTTTATTGATATCCTTTTATTATTTGTAACATGTTAGAGGCTAGCTATAGAATCAATGACATATTCGATTATTGATTGAAATCATTAATTTGATTCTTACTTGAAACTGTTTATTCGATAGTAGGTCCTTCGAGCCAGATAATTTTTTGTGACTAGCTTTGCAAAAATTTGTTTGATTATCATTATGTCAATTTACAGACCGCCTGCGGCCGCAACATAAACGGCCATATGCAGGCTCACTACCGAGCGACCGACCACGCCCTCGTAATTTCTCTACTCGACCTTTCCGTGTGGTGCAATGTGTGCGAAGCCTATGTAGATAACGCGCTTTTGTATGATGCGAAAAACAACGCTCACAAATGCAAATTCGGAGAGGAAATGCCCTGGTGCTACCGGACTGACATACACATGGAATAAATTTACAAGATTGTAAATTCAAACGTTGTTACGTTCGATAATAATGACCAACTAATTAATTAATTAAATATTAACTTTAATTTAATTTCGTCGTCCACATTAATTTATTTAACGAAGTTTAAATTAATCGAATAATATGCGTAGCTCCGACATAAGAATTTTTATAAATAGGTGATTAAACATTGACTCATTCGCCATAGCTTTTATGCTAGTTCTAATAATATTTATGACTCGAATAAATTAGAAAGACCAATAGGAAAATGATGGAGGTCCATGTCCAGCCGCGGGAATCATATAGGCTGATAATTTTGCTAATTAGAAGAAAAAAATTAAAACTCTTTGAAAAGTTGAAAGTTGAATAGCACTTCAAATTAATCAGTCAAAAAATATTGTCAAGTAGTTCATAATTTCAATGTGATATTAGCTGTGTTTCGTTTGTAATAAAATAGTTTGATTGGCAACTCCGTAATGAAGTAGTAATACTTAAAATTTAAGTAATGTTAAAGGACTAAAACTTATGTAGATATTGACATAAAATAACATAATTTACATGATTACAATATCAAACTAATGACGATTAAAAACGTTTATGTAAGCTAACTTACTATTTTTATTATATGATACAATACTGATGTAGGTATTAAGTAATAGTAATAACTAGTTATGTCCGGATATCCGTATCCGTTTCTTATATATTTTTGTCGGATCTTTTAGCTTATTTATTTTCAATACATGATGAAATTATGTGTTACAAAGAAAATATCTACAAAGAAGTTTATTATTCTACAAAAAAAATTGTAGACATCTTTTAACTCATGTACCAAACACAAACGTTATCTATTTTTACCACTGTCACACTAAATTATAAACAAATAAAGAAAGACCCGCGCAATGCAAGTCGAAATATGTCCTGTCACGCAAAGCGTCAACTATCGTTATTAGGCCACGCGCATCAACACAGATTGAGTAAGAAAGTTGAGATCCATATCCGTATTCGCGGATTTTGACCAAATATCCGTATTCATGGATATATATTTCTAACGATCCGGTACAACTTTCTCTTTCTTTCTTTCTTTTATTTTCTCTACTCTAGTTCTCTAACTAACTAGTAACTCTAGTAATAACGCACAAATGAATCTTTTATTATTTTATTCATAATTTCATTCTAAAATTAAAAGGAATAATCTGAAAAAAAAAAACCCCTGAAAACATAACACAAATTGATCTACCGCTATTTTTCTTAATTGCAAATGATGTACGTCCCTTATTATGATTCAGATCTTTTTCTGTGTGGTTGTGGTTGACTGTTATCGCATTGCATAGCCTTACTTTTTATTTTACTGTTTAAAAATTCGTCTCTACTAATTATACTCAGATATAATACGGCCGATGAGTCGTGGCCGCTCCGAACATGGCTCTCCGAACTTTCGCGCACAACACTCTAGAAGAAACTTATTGCCAGACAAACAAATATAGACAAAGAAAAAAAATACAATAACACAATAATAAAGTAAAAATAAAACGAATTACATACCAAAGCAGATTTTTTAAATCACAAACTTATATTATGTATACATAATATATAATTATATGTATGTTGTATGTACATATTTTCAAATATCTTGCATACACCCTTACTCTTTCTCACAGGTAATTATATTCTTTGCATGTGGTTGCCAGGTAGAGGTCGCTTGTATGTATTTTTTTTTATTTGTATTTCTTTTCTCTTATTTATCGGCGTAAAATAAAGAATATTTTATCCATTCATTCATTCAAGTCTTATTTATTAATTTACACTTTAGTGCACATTGGTGGTGGAGATACTTAATGTCATAAGGCATTATTATTATTTTACAAAATTCAATCAATACCTACTACACTTTGGCATATTTAGCGAAATAACTGTCCGCTGACACTTGCAAGTAACACGAATAAAATTAAAAATGACGTAACAACAACAATAATAACGACAACTAAAAAATTAACAAAAACCACAACGAAAACTTTTCTAACCGATTGTCCTCAAGACAAAGATAGCGACACGAACAATAAACTGAATGCTGACTTGTGACGGAGACACATTACCTTGAACCGAGCATTGCCGAACAAGCACGAAGTTAACAAAAATATGTGCAATGTCATGTAGTTTAATCGAGTGAAATTAAGAAATATAAACATATTTGTATTCAATTTTATAACGAGGTTTTAATTTTCTCAGACTTAAGTAGTCGTTAGGAGATTACTGAAATTTATGTAAACCATGTCTTTTAATCCAGAAAAATAATTTATCTTAACATTTTATTTAAGGAAGAGCAAAAACTAATTTAGTAGTCATTATATTAGAAATTTATTTTGTTTTGGCATATATAAACACTAAATTCAGTTAATACTTAATGACAATAATCGATTACGATATTTAATCGTATGTAGGATTGTGTGCGTTTACGTTAGATACATATTTCGCCTAGACCATCACCCCGCGCACGCCGCGTCCTATCGCCATTTGCTTTCGAAATATTTTTTTTATTTCTTTTTTTTATTATATTTGCGCAGCTATTCGCACGAAGTTTGGACCGGCTAGGACTCATATGCCAAACCTATGGACTGTAGAGGTAATACTCCATGGCCATACTGTAATGCGCGCAGTAGACAATTAAAAAGTTTTTATTATTAATTAATAATATTTTAATTTTTGACATAACTACGAAGATATTTTTGTAGACAATAATATTATCGTGTAAATCTTTATTAGTTTGTATTGTAAGTATAATTTATAATAATATTATATTGATCTGAGTATACTTCTTGGCTTCAATTCATTTTATGCCCTATGCTTAAAGATATATCATATTGCATAAAAAATCCTTATGTACTTATCAGGATATGGACATAGGGATTTTCTATGCAATATGTGCATTTCATAATTATTTATACTAGATGATTTTTTTTACCGTCTGGTAAAAAACAGGGTGCAACAGGTGATTAGAAAAGAAGTCTATGACACTGATATTTTTCTTTTTTTTTCTTTTACATTAACATATTATAAAATTGATCTATCAATAAATACTACTAATTTGAAATAAATTTTCGGTACTAAGGAAATAAAAACCAACATTTTGAACTAAATAAATAAATCAATTAAAAACTATAGAAATTAAAATAATACGCACCCAATTAGTAATATTTATTGATATATCAATTTCATAATATTATGTTAATGTAAAAGAAAAAAAATTGTTAAATTTCAGTGCTTCAGGCTTCTATTCCGTTTACCTGTTACATCCTATTTTTTTTTTCCAGACTAAAAAATCATCTAGTATTGATGAATATTTCACACATGATTTCATAGATAAATTTAATTGTGATCAGTATTAACAAATTTGTAATTAACCTGTAATCAACAATATGTCAAATTTTATTCTTGTAAAATAATTTATAAACAGTTAATATTTTTATTTCATATATAGTATTTGCGTGCCAAATCTATGATTGAAAGCTTGTCACTTACAAGACTTTATTTAAAATAACAAGTCAGTAATAAAAACATATCATATTAATTGTGTTTTGATTCAATCTCATATTTTTAGCCTTGGAATATTTACATCATTTTAGAGTTAAAATCAGTCATAATATTTTATTTAAAATTTGCCCCTACTTTTTGAAAGTCTAGAAAGCTACGCCATTGCTTTATCAAGTGCCTATTTAGATCCGCTAGGAGTAATAATCCGTGAGACCTTGTGAGAAAACCTCCAACAAGAAACTCACGAGAATGTATAGTTACATAATTACAAAAAAGTCTAAGGATGCTCAGCATTGTCTAATTTAAAATATCCTTTCTTCATAAAAATGCTTTTTACATGCATTTAGAGTTTATGCAAAAGCCAATCAATAATATTATTAAAATCTTGTTATACATAGGTAACAAAACATAAATAAATATGTACTACCCATAAATGGGCAGCTAGATTTATGGAGCCTGTGGTGTCCACTAATTTAAGTTTAGGGTTTTAGTAAAACAACCAACTATCAGTAAGTAGATACACAGCACAACGACAATGTCCACTCGCCACCGATGGCAGATCGGCAATGCGAGTGGGGCACCACCGTTGGTCTGTGCTGTGTACTACATTTAATTATACATATATCACAGAGCCTGTACTTTGTTTTAAAGTACGGACTTTGATTTATTCAATTCGTTACGCTACGTGACATTTAGCTCTTTCAACTCTGCATGTAGTAACCCAATCTGAAATGGAGACTTCAGTGGAAGGTTGACTTGATCGGCCTCCGCCCAAAGGCGATGGTGTTTTTAACTATGAAATTCCTTGTAAGGCTACTCGTAGATTGTTTTACTGATGCACGCTTAGTATCATCCGCAGAATCGTAATCATGCATATGAAATATTAGTAGAAACAATTCTATAAGTCAAATTCCCTGGTATTGCAGTTGTTCATGGCCAGCTGTTGTCACTTACCATCAGTTGAGCCACATACTCGTTTGCCCCCTCATATACAATATGTAACGTAATTAACGCACACCCTCAGACACCCCAATTAGTATATTATGTTATAATCATAATACATACACTGAATTTTAGTTAAACATTTTTATGCACTGATTATTTATCAAATTAGTTATACTAATTCCGGAAGAATGTTGTGGTCACAGTACAAATCCACGAACGCAAAGACTTTAACGTGCTTGAAATAAAGTTCATTTTTCTTTATTTTTATTGAATGACAGAATTAGTAATAATACAAATAAAACTGCACTCTTAAAAGTCTTATTGCGGTCCATTTCAGTTTGTTTTGAATGTACAGATTTAGTGTGACCGTAATTTACGTAGTTTTAATTATTTTTGGGATAAAAAATTACCTATATTAAAAATGATGGAAATCGATTCAGTAAACGATTCTGAACAAACTACTTTCTCAAAGTGCGTTAATTATGTTACATGTTGTACCGTGAAACCTTACAACTTTGCCCTTGGGGGACAACTT